TGTGTGTGTGTGTGTGTGAGAGAGAGAGAGAGAGAGAGAGAGAGAGAGAGAGAGAGAGAGAGAGAGAGAGAGAGAGAGTGGTGGTGGTCCACAAGCTGACATCTTCACGGGCTAATAGCTGCGCTGTCTTCGTCCAATTGGCTCCTGCATTGGCATCTCCCGCGTCCTAGATTATCACCGTCTACTCATCCCTCTTCATCTGTCTCACTCTCTCTCCCTTGTCTCCTCTCTTTCATGGACTTCATGACGAAGCGTCAAGTTCAGGGGCTTGCTCCACGCCAAGCCGAGTGTAGATCTTGTTTTTTCTTTTTGTGTTCCTTGGATTTGGTTATTTTATTTTTATCAGTTTATAATGTTCTTGACCCTTTTTTCCCCTTAACGTTTTGCTCTCCCACAACTGTCCCACTTTGTCCCACCCTTAACGTTTTGCTCTCCCACAACTGTCCCACTTTGTCCCACCCTTAACGTTTTGCTCTCCCACAACTGTCCCACTTTGTCCCACAATTGCCGCACGGGTAGATCTACGTCTTATCCCGTGGGTAGTGGGACCGTGGCCCAGGTACGTACTCAGTTCCTGTTTGTCCTTCCTTTCCTCTTCATGGCGGCTAATTTTGTTTTCCCCCATCACTTTTTTCGTTTCCTCCTCTTTTCAACTGGCGCCTGATTTTATTTAATTCATGTTATTCCCTATGGATTCGATCTCAGGTCTGTATTTCAACAGTTCATGGGTGTACCAAGTGACCAAGGACCGGTGGTATGGTGGCTAATAAAGGGCAGAGAGAAGAAAGATTTATAGAAATTTCAAATTCAGCGATAACAACGATGACAACCCAAAATCAACGGTGAAGTTGAGGGATTCGATCATCTGATCTGGCTCCCGCAATCGGTGTGATCGACACGTCATATCCGCCGGTGCTGATTGGACCAGCTGAGCTGGCACAACGGCAGCAGTATCGGGAGCAGCCTCGGCAGCAGCGAGTAAAGGGGAGAAGGGAGCGATGTCGTCAGCAGCAACGGCTATGGCTCGCCTTAGTCAGGTGGTTTTCCTCTTTGGACCCATGCATGGAGGAGGAGGAGGAGGATGTGTAGGGGTGAGGGGTGTTCTACGGTCCGCCAAATCGTTACACGTCAGCAATTTATTATCGCTGCCACGTTCGCGAGGGTCAGACTTGCAATTGGACTGGTTGGATTGGGGTTGTCGTCAATTCCCTTGTTCAAGAAAGGTCGAGGGATCAGCGTTCGTCTTCTCCTCCTCCTCTTCCTCCTCCTCCTCCTCCTCCTCCTCCTCCTCCTCCTCATCATCATCATCGTCGTCGTCGCCACTGTCATCGTGTTCGTCATCATCGCCACTTGTTAAAGGAAGGCGGCGCTACTCCTGTGCTGCTGTTAGCGAAGAGAGAGAGAGAGAGAGAGATGGAGAGGAGGAGGGAGGCATGGGCGCGGCAATGAAGGGAAAAGCAGGAGAAGGGAATGAGAACAAGAGCAGGAAGAGGAGAGAAGGGAGAGGGGAGAGCGGTGTGGGGGGGAAAGCACACGCATTGCTGACCGCAACGCTGACGGAAGGGGATAAAGAGGAGGAGGAGGAGGAGGAGGCGGCGGGGGGTGGGGTTAATCAGAGAGTCCAAGCCAATGGCAGCTCCAGTTTACCACGTGGCAGATCGACGCGTCCACGTGTTAATTACCCCACCTCTTCGTCATCCACGTCATCATCCCTGTCATCGCGATCAGAAGGCGAAGCAGCAGCAGCAGCAGCAGGAGGAGGAGGAGGAGGAGGAGGAGGAGGTGGTGGTGGTAAACAGTCTGGATTGTGGTTGATTGTCGGGTTAGGAAACCCAGGCAGAAAATACATCGGCACCCGCCATAACGCTGGCTTCGAGGTTATCGATAGATTGGCTATGGCCGAAGGAATCCCGATGGGTTCCATAGAATCCAAGGCTGTCGTTGGGCGTGGTTTAATTTGCAACATTCCCGTTTTATTAGCAAAGCCACAAACTTTCATGAACTGCAGCGGCCAGTCCGTCGGTCCTCTGGCCAGGTATTACAGAATTCCAAATGATCGTGTACTCGTTATATGTGATGATCTAGATCTATCCTTAGCGGCTTTGCGGATCCGACGGAAAGGCAGTGCTGCTGGGCACAATGGAATGAAAAGTGTAATCGAAGGACTGAAAGGAAGCAAAGATTTTCCAAGACTGCGGATCGGGATCGGGAGACCTGGAGGAGGGCTCCCGATCGAAGCATATGTATTACAGAAATACACCAAGGAGGAAAGAGAAGAAATGGAGTGTACTATCCACCAGGCCACCAATGCCGTCAGAGCCGTGCTCGTGGACGGAATGGACAAAGCGATGAATGTGTGGAATGTGGCTAGAAGCTTCAGGCTCGTCGGAGATTAATTAATCCCCGCAGTAAGGGAGGTGGAGGGGTGAAGGTGGGGAAGGGGATCTCTCTCTCTCTCTCTCTCTCTCTCTCTCTCTCTCTCTCTCTCTCTCTCTCTCTCTCTCTCTCTTTCTGTGCCCCTTTCTCTGTGTGTGTGTGGGGCATGCACACACACACATGTTCCTTCCCCTTTTCTTTGTTTCTCTCAGTTCAAGTATGGTCATGGAATTCGGATTTGCCTTCATTATCATCTTTTTTTTTTTTTTTTTTTTTTTTGGTTGGGGAGCAGCACGCGCTGGGAACCGGGCCCAGCGTCCCATATGGAAATTTACATATGATTTTGAAGATTGAGATACCGGGGCCATTACCCGGCTTTGGCTCAGAAAAAAGGAGGCTACTTAGAAAATGACTACGACAAACTTCAAAATATAAACAGAAATCAGGAAACTGCTCAGAAAACCTCCCCATCCATCAGCTTTACCTTCCTCCGGCAAGACTTACTGCAGCAGAGCCACCATCTCCCCTGCTGCTATGCCCTATTCCCATCCTACCAGCTAGCCCCCTCACTAGTAGGWCGCGTGATATCCCACCATCTCCTTCCCCACTCCCCCTCGTTCTGTTTTGGCTCAAAAAGTTAGAGCTACTTTAGGAAATAACTACAACAGACTTCAAGAATCAACAGGACTCAAAATCCAACTCGAAACCGCCCTTTCCCCATCAATCCTCTGTTCCTCACTCCGGCAAGACTTACTGCAGCAGAGCCACCATCTCTACTGTTGCTATACCCTATTCCAATCCTACCAGCTAGCCCCGTCGCTAGTAGGACGCATGATATCCCACCGTCTTCTTCTCCCACTCACCTTGTTTCTTTTTTAGTATAGACCGCTGGGGTCCTAAAAGAAAATCCAAAAAAAGAAAATCCAAAAATCTCGACCTCCTTACCAAACCTTTCCAAGGTTCCTCAAAGTTGTCTTACTCCCTGCCGAGCTCTTCCAAGCCTCACACCCCCACTTCCTGCTGGGTTACAGGGCGACACAACTCGCCCCAGCTCTGGCCAGCGTCATCCCGGCAGCAAAACCTTGGTTGTCCCGTGAGATGCCCACCCCAAAGCATCCCCCAGATCTCTCTACCAGGCCTCACGCTCCTGCGTCAACAGGTTACAGGGCAACACCCCAGCACCGGCCAGCGTCGTTCTGGCATCGAACAGCCGCAGATCGCTGAGTATGGCAACTTCAAGGCAGCCTGGGAAAAGTTGATAGAAGCCCCAGAGTCCTAAACGTTCTCAAGTCCCCCTTAATGGCCGAACAGAGTACAATCCAGAAAAAGGGGGGTCAAAACTAGAAATTAACACCAACTATCGTAAAATCCCCTCTCAACAAGCGGATCGCTAGTCCCGGCTTTCAGTCCTCGTACCAGAACTCACCTGGTCTCATACCCCCCTCTGCTAGGGTAACAGGGCACCACAACCCACCCTAGTACCGACCAACCTCGTTCTGACGGACAGGAAGTGCCTTCCTCCCTCAACAATTCCTTTAGTGGCAAACCCCTAAACAGGTTACGGGGTCCACGCCCCGGTACCCACTATGTTGGACGATCTGGTTATGCCTTCCACCCTCGACATAACTCCATGGACCTCAAGCTCCCCCTGGGTCACAGAGCACAGCTCCAGCACCGGTTTGTGTTGTCCCAGCATCGTCCTCCTGACCTACTCACCTTAATCGACATCTCCCGTCTGTTGAAAGTCCCCTTTCATTCTTTCCATCCACCCATTCTAGTTTCCCCCCTAGGCAATCAAAAAAGGCACACCACAGTCGTAAATCTTTTTATCGAAAATCAGATCTGTATCATCTTTTTTAGGCGAGAAATTTTGAGATGAGATCACTTAGTAATCAAGGTAATTTAAGTCATGAGTTTTTGGCATCCAATTTAGAACAAAATTTCGAAAGGAGAACTAAAGAGGGATGTCCTCACAGACTTTCGACTCTGATTTCCAGAACCGTAGTTCAAGAAATCGCTCAGACTGTAAATCAGGAATTAAACTAATTACGATTGAAATCAGAAATAGGATTGGAAGAAGAAAATCGCTCAGATCAAATATAAAAATCCATCGAGCTACAAATAAGATTGGGAAGAAGAAAATCGCTAGATCAACTAAGGGTTGGATGTCTTGAAAAATCCAATAAGGAGAAAACGCAATAGAGAAACAATTCTGATGTCCATCTGGACTTTCGACACTGATTTTCCGATCATAGAGTTCAGAAAAACGCTCATACCGTAGATCAGGAAGATGCAAATCAGAAAAACGGTCAGACCGTGGATCAAGAAGATGTTACAAAGAAAAAATTATCATATGAACAACAAGGATTGCAACGTGAAAAGGATAAACCAATGACATCAATATTGGATCATCATCATCGGATGAATCAACTTAGAATGATCATGCAAGCAATACAAAGTAAAAAATTATGTAACCAAAAGAAGAAATAAAAGCTACAAGTTCAGCAGTACGAGTTGCAAAATCAGATAGATATGAAGACAGACAAACACAGTCTAAGAATCAAGGCCAAACAGAAGAGGAGAAACAACTTACCCTTGACAACCCTAAATACACCCCCCCTCTCTCCAAACCTCACCTCCTCGCTTCATCGGCTTTTCAAGCAACTCGACCGCCTATGATTGACAACCGTTCAACCAACCAATAAGACCGAACGATGATGATAATAGGACCGCAACTAGGATTGTCGTCACAGCATACCAAACCACGTCGCGAGAATAAGCCACTGAGCCCGCTAGCCACCCCTCGCAGGTAGCCCGAAGAGATGAGGGGGAGTCCACTTTGCGAATGCCATCCTCCCCCTTCCCCCCAACCCGTAAAACCCTTCCCACCCCTATCCTCCCACCCAAGTGCCCAAGGCTTATATTTCCATAAACAATTTGAGGTCGGGGTCCTCACAGTCTACCGGGATGGCTGGGAGCATTACCCAGTTTCGCTTACGGGATCTCTCTCCCGTGGGGACCACCCCCCTCCAATGCAAAACCAAATCATCTGCTCAAAGCACGCTAGACTACTCAACCAACCAGTTGTCCAGAGTCCACCTAGACTGCCCCTATAGCAGGGCAGCGGAGCCTCTGCTCCATTACCAAGGATGACCCTCCCTCCAAAACCATTTAATCACCATCTACCGCCCTCCTACTGAGGAGATAAACCGAGTGCCCAAGTTTTTACTCTCAGTCTAAAAACCACTGATCCAGTACCAACTTTACATCCCGAACTTTGGCCAATTGTTCCTGGATGGCCCAAGTTTCCAGGAACCACTTTAGGCCGGATCTTCTCTGTTGTGTACTGAACATCTTCCGTCTCCAGTTACTTTTGATGCTCCGTCAAATGTGCAATTTCACGGAAGACTCGATGGCCTTTTCACCGAAGACTTGATGGCCTTATCCGAGAGGAACCTGCCTTCAAATATATTCTCGTTCCTTGTCTGCGGAGGGCAATGCACCCTCATCATGACTGTACAGGACTGGAAAGATGGCTTGTATACATTCGTAATACATTCGTAATGGGGGGGTGCATTAGGTTTGGTGGAAGAAGGTAGTTGAAGGATGGCCAAAAAAATATGAAGGGGATGGATACTCCCTAGTGGATATCGTGCCTCTGGCTCCACTCCTCACCAAATGTGCAAAATGAGAATGAATCTTCCGCCGGAACACGGCAAGATACACTCGCATATTTTTTTTGTCTTTTGTGCATGTGGTGAGTACGCTTGATGGAATGTTTCCCCCTTTTTTTTTTTCACAATAACATCATGTGGAGAACATGCGATCTTGTGGTGGTAAGAGAACCAGCAGGACCGAGGCTTCTGGGTGGATGACCCCATTCTGTTGGTGGGGAGTTTCACCTGATGGAAAACGGGTCCAGCGTCCCTTATAACAGAAGTAGCCAATTGAAAGAAATACATCAAAAGAACAGACCGGGAGCATTACTTGGCTTCGCTTACAAAGTAGCAGCGGATGGGAAGAGGTTGAAAAGAGCAGGTGAGAATTGTCACAGACAAGAAACTCGAAGTATGAACGAGAGTGGATAGAGGGCCTCGTTCCACTTCTGGACCAGATACGTTCAACACGTCGGATTCGTCCGAGTGCATCTGGTCCATTACGCATCCAAATGCATGTAGAGTGTTCTGTAGTGGAGCGACGCCCAGAGAAAGACGTAGATGTAGGATGCAGCGAATGCTAAGGCCCTCTAGCTGTGAAGCTGTCAGAAGGATGTGATCAACCAGGCCTGGGAACAGGGCGATCCCACAGGAGGTGAGTAAAAAACCCTATTATTATCTAGGTTGGGCCGCCACCCAGGCCGGGGGTCCCCGAGAAATGCAGGCGGCCCGAAAACCCATCAGGATTTTTTGTTTTATTTTTTGAAGGCGGGGTTTTGCTGCGCTACCCCAGAGGACCCCGAATCTGCAATAAAAAGTAAATTTTGGGGGGGGAGGGGGGTGGCCTGTCTCTTATACACATCTAGATGTGTATAAGAGACAGCCCCTGGCCCCACTCCTCTTTGTCATTCAACTTGAGGTCCTCATTAACAACATCAAAAAGAATGACGCAATTGTAGGCCTCAGTATTCCCCACTCGATACAATGGAAGGGGGGTGCGCTAGCTGACGACCTGACCATTGCCTGTGCGAACACGATACCATCCATGCAATCTCTAAGGGGCGTTTTAGACGAATATTGTGTTCTCTCTGAAGCGTCCATTAACTGGGAAAAGTCTGCATTTCTCCTCCCAGAGCCATTCATAATTTACGTGGACTGGGGCCTTAAACAAGTCCCGACTAATAGCTCGGAAAGGTTTCTAGGTATCTAAGTCTCCCTCACGAACTGTTCTGCCGCTCAGGACGCTATCCTGGTTGAGAAAGTCACGGCCAGGATCTTGGGGTGGTCCCGGAACTTCAGACTTTCGCTCTTCGGTAGANAAAAAAAACCGAAGAGAAAGCACATGTCCACATTGCTCCACAAACGATTACAAAAATCTCTCTCTCTCTTTCTCTCTCTCTCTCTCTCTCTCTCTCTCTCTCTCTCTCTCTCACTCACACACACACACACACACACACACACGACGACCTAATTCGCGACCAGAGTCGCATCCCTCAAATTTAGATGACCGTCTGCTGCAGTGATCTGAATCGGGGTCATCCTCGACAACCTCCGCGCGAGCCTTGCTCTGGCGACTCCTTTTCTTTGTCTTTGCAGCGTGCTCAACGGTCTTCTCCTTCCGGGGCCTGCCACGAGGATGTTTGGGCTTTGCAACAGCATCCTCCATTGGTTCCTTTCTCTTCCTCTCCACCCTGCTCACCCAGAGGTCATGTTGGACAGC